GAACCTCATGCATGGACAATTTCGACACCGCAAACATCTCAGATGCTCGCGTCAGAAAGAAGAAAGAGGCACTCAGCGCAAGAAACAAAACACGCCCGCCTACGCCCCATTGCGGCACCAACGAACTCCACGTTGCAACATCGCCCAAGACACCGGCCGCCGCAACCGCTGCTGTGTTCCCACGTCGGCATGCCCCCGCGCCGCTCCACGTAAAGCACAACGAATCAGCGGATGCTGCGTATCAAGCTCCCCTTCACCCGACACACGATGGAAAAACTTAACAGCGGACAGGTGACTAGCAATGGTCGAGTTTTGCAGGCCCAAAACGGAAAAACCATACGCGACGTACTCAAACCAATTGAACAACGACATCACGCGGAACAGTCTCAGCAGCAATAAACACCGGCCGATACACAACGGCCACACGATATTTCACCCAGCCTCCAAAAAGGCCCAGGTAAGTTCGTTCAGACGTTCGCGCAAGTGACTGGCGGACGAGGCTGGCCCCAGCACGGCAGAGCACATCTCTTGCCCGGCTCGATTCAACTCCACTTCCTGCCATCGCACATGGGGGGCAGCGGCACAAAGGTTGTCGTACACATCAGCGGCAGGCCAGCGAGAAATACCATCGGCAATCGAATTGAGCACACCAGGCACATGGGGCGATTGGAAAAGCCACCCGCTAGACACTTCAATCGCCCCCAGCATCCGCATGAGCGCGCCGGACCGCGGCTCCTTGGCTCCGCGGCACCGCTCAATCCATGCCACACTCGCTTCATTGTCTCCTCGCAACTGGATGCAGTCACCGGCCGACACCGGCACGTGACGCTGTTGCACGATCAACACCCACGCCGCAGCGACCATGCCGAGTAGCTCAAGAACATTGATACTGACATCGGGACACTCGGATACAGACTTGCTAGACCCCACAAAACGGGACCGCTCGTCACACGTCAAATCACGCCGGAAAGAACACCCAGTTTGCACACAGTATGCTCCGAACGCTGTTTTGGACGCATCGGCAAACACGGCCATTACCGGAGGGCGAAGCACCACATTGTACATCGGTGCACACAACTGTCCGCCACGCGACGCCAGACCTCGCTGCACACACCAGCGCCAAAAATCCAAATCATCGTGAAACATGGGGCCCAACACGACACGCCGAGCGGGGTTAGAAACACGCGAAGGGAACACTTCGGATTGCGGCAAGCCGACATCAGCCAACAGACAGCCGACGAAGTATTTGCCTGGACGCAAGGCAAAAGACACGTGAAGAAGAAAACCGGTCAATTCCGCGACTTGGCGGGCGGTCGCACACAGACGCGACCGCGGCCACTCGCCCAACAAACGATGTAATTTCTGTTGTTTTCGCAGAGGCATGGTCACTGTGAGAGTTTGCGTGTCCAAAATCCATCCCAACACCTCCAAACGTGTGGAAAAATCGGTGATCTTCTTTGCAGACAGCAACGGAGGATCGTTTGGCCCCCGGTGTCCCAGCAGGCGGAAATGGTCCGACGCGATCGACTGCACTGCACGTAAGCAACGACGACCATCCTTGCAAAAACCGCGCCTCGACAAGCACGCCGTCATCCACATAATATCGAACGAAAAACGAGGAACCAGCGAAACCGCCCTCCATAGTAATTTGGGCACAATCACGCGGTAGCGAAACGGGGAGGTGTTGGGGAGGAATGCGCTGAACATGATTAACCGCCGCAACGCCGGCAGGCAAAACAGAAGCTGTCTGAAAAAAATCGGTGATTTTCTTTGCAGACAGCAACGGAGGATAGTTTGGCCCCCGGTGTCCCAGCAGACGGAAATGGTCCCACGAAGGGTCGACCAACACTTGACGAAAAGCCTCACGCACGTCAATACTACAGAGCAAAATCTCGAGATGTGGCCCGTGCAATTGGCGCAAAAAGAGGACGCGCGACAAGATATCGAAAAATACATGTCCCGACAGACACTCGGGGGCATGATCAAAATCTGTATCTGCATGGACGCTAGACGACGCACCAGCCGCTGTGAATGTGAGATCAGGAATGATGCGGAATTGCGGATCTTCCACCACCCCAAGGGGGGAAACACGCACACCCAAAATTTCACGGATGAAATGCACGTCGAAGACAAGAGCACGACCTAACGTAACATCCGAAACGATCTTGTCGGTAATCTGCGAAGTGCATGGTACAATGCTGGAATGGTTGCCGTATTTTAATTCGGCGTCGAGACACCCCCCCGGCGCCACATCGACGGGTGCACCAGGACACGACACGCCGATTGGGTTAGAAACACGCGAAGGGAACACTTCGGACTGCGGCATGCCGACATCAGCCAACAGACAGCCGACGAAAAATTTGCCTTGACGCAAGGCAAAAGACACGTGAAGAAGAAAACCGGTCAATTCCGCGACGTGACGGGCGCGTCTGTGGCCACTCGCCCAACAAACGATGTAAGTTCTGTTGTTTTCGCAGAGGCATGGTCACTGTGAGAGTTTGCGTGTCCAAAATCCATCCCAACACCTCTTAACGTGTCGAAAAATGGGTGATTTTCTTTGCAGACAACAACGGAGTATCGTTTGGCCCCCGGTGTCCCAGCAGACGGAAATGGTCCCACGCGATCGACTGCACGGCACGTAAGCAACGACGACCATCCTTGCAAAAACCGCGCCTCGACAAGCACGCCGTCATGCACATACCCCCATCGTGTATCCGAATACCGATGCCCTCGAAGGGTCGACCAACACTTGACGAAAAGCCTCACGCACGTCAATACTACAGAGCAAAATCTCGAGATGTGGCCCGTGCAATTGGCGCAAAAAGAGGACGCGCGACAAGATATCGAAAAATACATGTCCCAACAGACACTCGGGGGCACGATCAAAATCTATATCTGCATTGACGCTAGACGGCGCACCAGCCGCTGTGAATGTGAGATCAGGAATGATGCGGAATTGCGGATCTTCCACCACCCCAAGGGGGGAAACACGCACACCCAAAATTTCACGGATGAAATGCACGTCGAAGACAAGAGCACGACCTAACGTAACATCCGAAACGATCTTGTCGGTAATCTGCGAAGTGCATGGTACAATGCTGGAATGGTTGCCGTATTTTTAATTCGGCGTCGAGACACCCCCTCGGGAGCGCCAGGACACAACACGCGGAGGAGGTTTGTCAATGTGCGGAAAACGTTTCGCGACCCCAAAAAAAACAATTCACGAACCGACGCAACATCGACATGGGGCGCATAGAAGCCGGCACCACCGGCCGCCACGAGCACTTCAATACGCCCCCCACACTGTCTAAGCAAGGTGGAACCAGCGGAAGCCACCTCACGAAGACCCACACCCATATCGGAGGGTGAACACACCGCCGCTAAAGCAGACACACGAGATCGCCACACGCAAAGTTCACGCGAACCCGCAATCGACAACATCGATATGGGGCGCAAAGAAGCCGGCCCCACCGGCCGCCACGAGCACTTCAATACGCCCCCCACACTGTCTAAGCAAGGCGGAACAAGCGGAAGCCACCTCACGAAGACCCACACCCATATCGGAGGATGAACACACCGCCGCTAAAGCAGACACACGAGATCACCACACGCAAAGTTCACGCGAACCCGCAATCGACCTAAACGAGACATCACCTGGTAGCCAACGAATAGACAGCTCCGGGGCACACACGCCCCTCGATCGACGCCCACGTCCGCCGCCGCCAACGCCGCGGCCCCAAGCGCCCGGGAACCCGGCCTTGCTGTCTGATCTATGCTCACACCGGCCACCGCAGACGACCCACCAGGGCCCTCCACGGATAAACCAGCCATGCCGTCGGCCCGCCGTGCCTCAACCACGCCGACCGCCGACCCCGCCGCGGCGGCGGCCCCAGCTGTTGCGTCTTGCTGCTGACGTTGAAGTTGCTGCGGCTGCTGCGTTTGCTGCTGCGGCTGCTGCTGCTGTTGCGGCCGCTGCTGCGGCTGCTGCTGTTGCTGCGGCGGCGGGCCCTGCTGGTCCTGCTGGGCTGCCAACGCCATTGCGGCAGCCGCGCCCGCCACCGCAGCAGAGGGAGGGGCGCCGCCACCACTGCTGCTGCCGCCGCCGTCGGCGATGGAGTCATCCACCGACGCACGAATCCCGTCGGCAGCAATCGGCAGGCCCTTTTCCGAGATTTGGATTCAAAGCCATATCGCCCCGGAGACAGAAAGAAAACGTCACGGCAGAAACAACCCTTGGCCACGAAAAAGAAACATCACGGGAGAAACAACCCTTGGCCACCACAAGCACACACACATGCTCTCGCTCGCCCCCGGCAAACGTCACGGCAGAAACAACCCTTGGCCACCACAAGCACACACACGTGCTCTCGCTCGCCCCCGGTAAACACGGCGAAGCGAGTATATACTGAAAACAGGAATCAACACGCTCGTCCGCTTCCTGCTTTCTGATTGGCCAACGGTTTATTTCTGCCGCTTCTCACAAAACGCAGATTTCCCTTAGGGCGTGTATTAACGAAATGCCGAAAATCAAAATCCAAATGGGCGCAAAATCAAAATCAAAATGCGTTATCGTGGAAAACTGAAAAAAGAGGGTCGTGTAGGTTAACGAGGATAGGAGACAGATGAGGCAAAAAATCAAAAAGACCTGGCACCAGGGGAAGAGCCAGCAGCGCAGCGGTGATTTTTCTAGGGTGCGTTTTACGCTCTTCTGTTCACGTGTTAGCCGATATCTCGCCAAATACTCAACAAGTTGCCTCAAGAAAGGTATCCGGAAGGAGCTGGAAACATGGGCTGATGGACACTGCCAAGGTTTGGGGCCGTGAGGGGCCGAATACGCCGGAAAAAAAAGGTTGTGTTGAAGCAAAAATGCCAACGGTTGCGCGCGGTCACTTCAAGTTGGGTGTTTTGGGCCGCCACGGGTTGTGATATCCACCAATAACTTCCCGAAGAAGGAAGCAACAGCAACAGCAACGCCACGCGGCAGGAGGTACGTCTCTGCTTCATCTTTCAAGCCCAAGGTCTGCTACCGTGGGGTAACGTGCGTGTAGGGAAAAAAGTTTTGGTTGACCCTAAAAAATCCACGTCAGAGAGCGGATAGTTCAAGTTCGCGCCGAATGTCTGCTCACAGTTTAGTTTTTCAGCGATAACTCTTCGAAGGAGGAAGCAACAGCATTAGCAATGCCACGCGACGGGAGGTAGCTTTACCCACCATCTGTCTCGTACAAGGTTAGATGCCTTGGAGTATCGTGAGTGTGGAGAAAAAAGGTTGCAACTACCCTCTCCCGCACGGAACAGCCCGAAAAAGCCGCGCAACCCTGTTCTGATCGTCAGTCCGTTCACCGCTTGTCAAGATCGGCATTTTCTCCTCGAGTACCCAACGAGCCGGCCCGTTTTGTGGCTTGCCGGCGAGCAGAGTCTTCTGGCTACAAATAATGGCCATGTTGTCGGTGGTAGGGTGCCGATAGCCCCTCTATAAGCAGTGTGCAGCAGGTCGTGTCGTACACTTGCTTTGCAGCGGCCTCGCGGCAGGTGCTCCAAGCCTTCGAAGTCTTGAACTCCTCTCCTCTTTGATTTTGATTTTGACAAAAAAAGTCCCCCGGGGACTTCTTCCCAGACAGAGGATGTTTGGGGTGCTCGGCAGAGTATACTGTCTATGGGGCCTCCGGGGGGTACGCGGATGAAATGTGTTGATGGGCATGCTGCATGGCGATGGTTTTGCCTACCGCATGTCTGTCACTCTCTAATCAACCAAGGTCTTGAGTCAACCTTCTTTCTCTTTCGGCCTCTGACGGGCTACCGCACCCAAACACAATATATTGGGCCTGGTGTTGGTAGTGGGTATTGGCGTTTGAGCTGTATGTGCCGGGCCAATGGGGCGGCGAATACGATATATATAGCTAAGCTGGGACGTGGCCAACGGGGACGGGACAGCACGGCAGCGGGTAGTGTATAGCTGGGACGGTGGCCATCGGGGACCGGGACAGCAGGGGGTGTATTGCTGGGACAGCGCTTCAGGGCTGGGACAGCAGGGTACGGGATATTTTTCAAGCGTAGACTATGGCGGAGAGAAGCGGCGGAATAGGAAGAGATTCGCAAAGGGAGGAGGGTACAGTTGTGCGCATCAAGATGGAGGAGAGGTCGCGCAACGCAGCAGAGAAGCTACGAGCTGCCGAGTCGGAGGTGGAGAGGCTGGTGAAGGTGCTCAGAGCTGCGGAGGCTGCCGAGTATGAGAAGGAGAGACTTAGGCGGCAGCAACAACAACAACAACAGCAGCAGCGATGGAGTGCTCAATGGCAGCAGCAGCCATCGCAGGTACAGCAGTGTTCTCGTGGTGGTTTTGTCAGTCAGCAGAACCAACACTGCGTTTTCACTCAGAGCCACCAGGCGAGGCAGCACCAGCAGCTGGCGCGGCAGCAACAGCAGCCGCCGCCAACCGGAGTTGGTGGGATATATGACTGCGGGAGCAACGCCGTGTATTTCCAGCAGGAATCACCCCCTCCGCCTGGTACGGTATACCATTGCACTCGGTGCGGCAGGAACGGCCACCACGACGAAGAATGCGCCGCACCCCGCAGGTTCGAGGGTACGTGCGGCGCATGTGGTCAGTACGGCCATATGTGGCGGAACTGCGCCGTGCATCTTCATGGCAGCAGCGGCGAGGATGACGGCCGTATCGTCCGCGGTGGCTGCTGGATGGGCGTCAATGGCGGCGGCAGCTGCATGGACATCGGTGGAAGCTCGGTCGTACAGCAGCAGGTGGTGGTTGAGAGCGAGTACCTCTCTGATTTTGTCGACCTGGTTCACGTTGGGGGCGAGGTGATGGCAGAGAGCGAGTGCCGCTCTGATTTCGTCGACACGGTTCACGCTGGCGGCGCTGTGGACGGTGATGATGACGGATGGTTTGGATGTAATGATTCTGTGGACATGGTTCACGCTGGTGGCAGTGTCTTCGATGATGTTTTCCCCGCTGCTGGGGCGGGGGAAATGGTCGGAGCGCCTGCGTTGGCGACTGGAGTGGCGGCATCGGCAGCAGCTCCAGCGGCGACGGCGGCGATCTCCGGCGGCAGTGTTTTCCCCGCGGCGGCGGCGGGGGGAACGGCCGGGGTCCCCGCGGTGGCGGCAGGAGCGGCGGCATCGGCAGCAGCTCCGGCGGCGACGGCGGCGACCTCTGGCGGCAGTGTTTTCCTCCGCGGCGGCGGCGGCGGGGGGAACGGCCGGGGTCCCCGCGGTGGCGGCAGGAGCGGCGGCATCGGCAGCAGCTCCGGCGGCGACGGCGGCGACCTCTGGCGGCAGTGTTTTCCCCGCAGCGGCAGCGGCGGGGGGAACGGCCGGGGTCCCCGCGGTGGCGGCAGGAGCGGCGGCATCGGCAGCAGCTCCGGCGGCGACGGCGACGGCCTCTGGCGGCAGTGTTTTCCCCGCGGCGGCGTCAGGGTGGATGACCCGAGTCCCCGCGGTGGCACCACGAGCGGCGGCATCGGCGGCAGCTCCAGAGGCGACAGTGGCGACCTACGGCGGCGGTAGTGTTTCCCTCGCCGCGACGGCGGCGGGGGGAATTGCCTGGGTCCCTGCAGTGGCGGCAGGAGCGGCGGCATCGGCAGCAGCTCCGGAGGCGACGGTGGCGACTTACGGCGGCGGTAGTGTTTCCTTCGCAGCGACGGCGGAGGAAGCGCCCGGAGGGCTCGCGGCGACAGCTGGAGTAGCGGCACCGGCGGCGGTTCCAGCGGCGACGGCGGCGGTGCCCGGCGACACTGTTATCTCCCCGACGGTGGCGGGGAGAACGACCGGAGCGCCCGCGTTGGTGGTTGGAGCGTCGGTATCGACGGCGGTTCCAGCGGCGACGGTGGCGGCACCCGACGGTCTTGTTTCTCCCGCTGCGGCGGCGGGGAGAATGGCTCGAGAGCCCGCGCAGGTGGCTACAGTGGCGGCATCGGCGGCTGGGGTGGCGACATCGGTGACGGCACCACCCGCGACCGCGGCGACGGCACCGGTCGCTACGATGGCGACCGTCGGTAACGTTTCCCCCACCTTATCGGTTGGGGGGGCGGCCAGCAACGGAGAAGCGGTGGTCAACGGCATCGACGACGGCAGCGATGATGGCGGTTGGTGCGCAGGTGAGGTTGATGGCTGCTGGGATGACAGCGTCTGTGGCGAGAGGGGGGCGTCCACGCACCCTTTCGATCCCGGCACCGTGTGTTCGGGGGTGCGCGGCGCCAACTATCCCGGGGTGGACGACCTGGTCGATGGTTCCAGCAGCAGCAGCAGCAGCAGCAGCAGCAGCAGCAGCAGCGGCAGCGGCAGCAGTAGCAACGACGAGGCAGAGGGGATGGATGTGGCCTGGTTTGGGGCACTGCTGCGCCCCTTCGACCCGGGGAAGCTGTGCCGGCTGAAGGCTGGGAGAGTGGGGCTGGTGATGGGGATGGACACCCCGTTCGACCGTGGAAAGATGTCGCGTGGGCAACGGCCGGGGAGCCCGTGTTCGCGACCGGAGCAACGACAGGAGGATCATGAAGCGGGGAAAGGAGTTCGGAGGATCGGGCGAGTCCAACAATGACGGCAAGCAGCGCGACTTCTGCTGGGGTCTTAAACTCGCCAAGGCACGTGACGTTTGTTTGCGTATTCTTATCATTTTTCTGAAATTTGTTTTGTGCACGATGTTGTTCTTGTGTTTTGATCTTCAGATACAATGCTGCATTTTTCACCGTCTGCAAATCATTTTTCCTATCGTTGGCACATTTGCAGGTTTGGATTTGTTTTTGTTTTGTTCTGTAGAGATGCCCACCCGCGTTTTACCTTGCAGGGACACTAATTTCCACGGCCAAATGGCAGGGAATTTCCATGGCTGATTATTGTTGTTTTTCTGGGAGACAAATGGAATGTTGCGGCCGGGGGGCTGTTGTTTGTCAAGACAATATCTCAAATGGCGGTGGTAGTATTATTTCTGCGTACGGTTTGTTCCACTTTGGTTTTCCTTCTTTGTTGGGATCACATTCTCTCTATGTTTTTCTGATGGTACTGGATGTATGTAGTAGGCATTGGCTTGGCGTTCGACGTGCTGGGTAAAGACGTTGGGGGGCACGCACCGTTTCTCTGTCCCCCCGATGTACCGGTACCCGACGAGTCAATCCTTGCGGAATACCAATTTCCTTTCCAAGTAGGCCTGTACGGCAGGCTGGTATGTGCTGGACGTGTGACGCCTTTTCTTTGATATGTTTTGTTTTCTTGTTTCGGTTTGGAGTTGATGAAGTTGGATGCAGAATTGGCATGCTGGATTTTGCGGAATCACGCCTGGTTGTTGCACTGCTGTCGGAAATCATGGGGGGGGGAATGTGATACCATGCTGTCCGCCGCAGCACAACAAGCAGTGTTTCTGACATCGGGTTTGGTAGTTCATGTTGAGATTTTCCGTGTTTTCCCTGGGGATTTTATATGGAATTGATGTTGGCTGATGGGATTTGGGTACTTCATGTCTAGATCGTTTTCCGCGTTTTACCTGCGGAGGTGACATGGAATTGAATATTGAATGGGATTTTCGTTGCGTTTATATGAGATGTCCCAGCAGGGGGGATGCGGGATTGTTGATTGTCTGTTTTGGATTTGTTGGTTTCTTCATGTTTGTTTCGGACTTGTTTGTTTGGTTTCTTCGTGTTTGGGATGGGTGTTACAGCAGGGGGGCTGTTGGACTGGTATATTTGTCAAGGTATTGGGTATTGGAGGAAGGATTTGGCATGTTCTCGTCAGTCATGGTTGAAGCCTTTGTGCTTCCGATTATTATTTGAGCTGGTCAATGAGTTGAAACATGAATGTTTATCTGAGGAATTTGTTCTGACTAAGTCAGGACGTTGGACACGTTTTCCCGGAGTTACCCGTCCCCGTTCTGACGTGATTCTGATGTAATGTGTATCTGTGCTGGGTATTTTTCCAACGGTGACTGTTTGTGTTTTGACTTCTTGAGAATTTGGTAAAGCATTTTTCTCAAGAGGGTGAATTGTTTATTGACAGACCTTTTAGGAGATAGTAATTTGATATCATCAGAAGATTTGAAAGATTTCGTAAAGCATGTTTTATTGGGAGATCGACAGATTTCGTAGAACATTGTTTTATTGGGAAATTGTTTGAATTGGAATGAATGGTGGATGATTTCCGTGTGGATGCGTAGTTTGATTTATCGCCGTTTTACCTGGCAATGATAGTCGTGACGAGAATTTCGTAGATCGTATCTCGTACCGAGCAGGGGGGCTGTTTGGGGTGCTCGGCAGAGTATACTGTCTATGGGGCCTCCGGGGGGTACGCGGATGAAATGTGTTGATGGGCATGCTGCATGGCGATGGTTTTGCCTACCGCATGTCTCTCACTCTCTAATCAACCAAGGTCTTGAGTCAACCTTCTTTCTCTTTCGGCCTCTGACGGGCTACCGCACCCAAACAGAGGAACTTCTCAAAAATCAAAGGGCGTCGTCAGGAGGTAGCAGATATTCGACCAATCAGATCTCGATTTTGATTTTGATTTTTTCGATTTTGATTTTCGGCACTTCGTTAATACACGCCCTTACTTCCAGTGCTGCACGACTGAAAAAAAAAAAAAGTAGGCGGAGGAACAAAAATTATCGTTTTACGCAGAAGAACTGCGCGACCGGCGTACATCCATCCAAGGCTAAAGGTTGACAGCAGTAGACTATTCCAGTAGCTATATAGGGAACCAAGATTTGGGAAATTCCGTCAACTGTAGGCTTCAAACTTGTCGGCGCAATACGCAGCCCCTCCCCTAAAAAAATGTGAGACTCGTATCTACGCGGCGCAACCACACTGCTGTGCACCCGCCAAATCGACCAAGCACAAGAACGCGCCCGCTACAGCATCAATCGCCACCAAACTTTGAGGAAAGATGGACTGAGAACCACAGAGTATATTTCAGAAAGGTTGAACTTGATTGATGCCGGGAATAGAGAGGTAGACACGGATGAAGTCGAAAACTTGCATTCACATACAGGGACCATGCTTATCTTCTGCCATGCCGCCGGCAATACCGAGCCCTGGTAAGGTTAGCTGCTGATGTTGTGGTTGTACAGCACTTGGAATTATGCTGCAAGACGTACTACAGGTGGAGTACTCTTGAATGGCGTCAGCTAGATTTGAACTGAAAATGCTGTTGGGGTGCCCCCTCTCCTGCTGCTGCTGTGTTGCACCGCACACACTTGTGCCTGTTGACTCGGGGCCCTCACCCAGCAGCACAACTCTCTGGAATTCCGGAAAAAAAAAAATGAGAGGATGGAGTAGCGACAGTAACACGGCCAAGGAACTTGGTCGCTGATAACGTTGTGCTATCTGATGTCGCACGCAGACGGCACGGCCGGCAATATGTACACATTATTAATGGTTGAAGTATTTTTTCTCAAAGCATAAGCATACATACGAATACATGTACATACATACATTGTACGCACTGAGCATTGGGTGTGTCGAAAACGCGATGAAATACTTACACACGAACACCGCACACAAGACCGCCCCCCCCGGATTGTCCAAACCTAGCAACAAACATCTTATTTACAGTCAGTAAAAACGACACAAGCAAGCCCGGAACGCACACAGCATCCCCGTACCTTTCAGGCAGTTTGTGACCCACAAAATACCATGCCAATAAACAACGGACACCCAGCGCGGCCGAAGGAAAAATAATCCCCCCCGTCCACCTCCCTGCGCAACTGGGTAGGAGAACACAGGGGAGAAAACGCTCGCTCTAGCCGGCTGGTCAGCGTTAGGCTTCTGTTCATCCGCCTGACATTTTGCATCCCAGGGTCGTCGTATTTGACGGATGGCTGCATCCAACGGAAGTGAAGCACGGGCCTGTTTAACCACCAACAAAGACGGCGCAAAATGTGGCATTGAAATATGGAGTTACAATGAATCATACCACAGCGATCTTTCCCTACGATGGTGGAGATCTGACGTGCAAGAATGCCCGGCACGACACCCCCAATCCCAAGCCAGTTCTCTCAAGGAACGTTACATGCACCTGCCTGAAGAAGTAGTCAGATCTCAGTTCCAGGCGTCGGTGACGAGATCCGCAACACCATCATCTGTGTCCCCGTCACTCCAACCCGGGTCGTCGCTCTTCCCACTCAACCTGTCAGATCCCCCATCGCTGGACCCAGATTCGCCCGAAACCAACTTGATCAAATCGTCGAGCGCACCGACCGAACCGTCGCCGTTCTCGTCCGACTCGGGGTCCTCCAGTTCTGCGTTCTTCGATTCCGCGGCCTCGCCAGAGGAAACTTCGTTGCTCGCAGGTGACCTGGGCTGGAGTTAAATGAGCAGTGCCAAACGCCGCTTCATCCTAGTAGAAGAACAAGGTCGCCAAAAGCTTCACGCATTCGTCGACATCCACGGCCCACGTGCCGTCCTGCTCTTCGAAGAACAACGGCTTATCAAACAAACCTTCCGTCCGTACGCTCTTAAGGACGAGTACCCACATCTTGTCGAACGGCAGCCCGGAAATTGCCGGGAGGCAGTCACAGCCCGACTCCAGGAAGGTTAGGGCGAACAGACGGACCTTGTCGTTGTCCGTGGGAATCCAGCTCCCGAAGGTCAATGGCGGCCACGCGGACTCGCTTCTGTCAGGGAGTTCGCAGATGCTGGCGAACACTCCGTTCATCCACAGGAACTTGGTCTCGCCACCCACGACCCTCAGAACTGTCACATCAACTGCCCTCTCGCCACGGGGCGTGAGCCAACCAGTTGTCATCGCCAGTAGAATGATCATCCATAGGTCCGTGTCTACCGATGAAACGACCCACTTGTCGAAGCTTTTCCCCCAGTACTTCTTCGCCCAAGCAATGAAGTGTATCACGGAGAGCTCAGCCTCGCCGATGTATGGCCCACGCTGTCGCTCGACGCCCTCGATCGTGTCGGTTCTGTCTCGAAAGTAAAGGAGTGGTTCAGTTTCGGGAAGCGCCTCCCCGGCACCTTCCCTTGCCATCTCGAGACCTATGCCCTCGGCATCTACACCAGGTGGATGATCAGCACTCAGATCAGGCTCACCTCCAACGCCATAGAATGCGACGATTCCATTCGGCTTGGTGTCGCCGGTCCAGACATCATCAGCTAGCACGCGCGTGGCGAGGTGGGCGGCGATTCCGTCCCGCGCCGCCTTGCCATCGGCTCGAAGCCATGACCCATACTGTAACGAAGGAACCGGGTCCGTTGACTTCGGGTCGAAGGTCCTAGAGCACTCACCAAGTTTCTCGCTTCTCCCAAGCTGTTCGTGTCCTTTGATCACGGGCACCAGTTCCTGTCGATCGTAGCACACCACGAGTAGCTCCGTCGACTGCAGCCACTTCGACAACAGCTGCTTCTTGAAGTAGTCGATAATCCCGCAGTTCCCTTCTCGAGATATTCCGGGTGCACCCCTTGGTGGATAGACACGGGGAGATCCACGCCATGAGCGTCGGCTTCGTAAAACGGGTCGTCTGCGAATCCATCGGCACAATGCTCTCTGACCCATTTCCCTGGACCTGCCGCCTTGTTGGCGTGCTTGGCTCCTGATACGTTAAAAGGAGAGATTTCCAACAGGGGTGTATGGTGGTGGTGGTGGTGGTGGGGGTGAACACAATGCGATGCGGTATGCATTACGGTAATAACAGTCAAAACACGGGCGTGGAGAATGGGTAAACTTCGGCTGGGAGCGAGAGCTCGAGATGGCAACGCTCTTCAGCGCTTAATCTGTACAGTCAGACTAACCCGGAGGCGTATCGGCGATACTACTGCTGTATCCGCGACAGCCAGAAAAGTAGACGGCGTGTCGTCTATTTTGTAGGTAGAACACAAGTACTCTCGGCATGTATTTGCCCACACGCAAAAAGTACAGACATGCAGCGGTGGATCACAAATTAGGTACAGCACCTGCGTGGCACCAGCATGTTTTGATGTGTATTTAAGAGGACACATGTGGGTGCAGCAGCTTGTACCATGAATACCACCTGGCACATGCTTCGACTTGCAGTGCGAGACAAAGAGTTGGGGGTGGCGCGGGTGCGAGCGAGTGCGGTGAGACAACAGAGAGGGGACGAGAGCGAGACACACACACACACACCAGGCGGCGTATACAGAAAACACGCTTCTCACAGACCTGCTGCTGTAACCTCGAGGCCCGAGACATGATGGCTTCTACTTTCAACAACCTGGCTGGCTCTATCCAGCAAGTAGGACATGCTCTTGGTATCGTGTTGCTTCGCGCTTCGCCTTGGCCCGGGGTGTTGCCTGGCGCCGAGCAGGGAAAACTGCATGCGGCTGGACCTACAGCAGCGCCATTATCCGCCCTGTCTGCTGAATCCAGACGGGACTTGCCCTTGGTGACCACCAACCCCATCTTTGTTGGGCCCTACCATGGTATTGCGCGTGTGGGGTCGTTGTCTGTGGAGTGCGGGGTGTGGTTGAAGGGGCACGCCCTCTCGCCATCACATGCGGCGAGATTTATTTGGAAAGTTGCCTTGCAGCGTGTATAAAATGAAAGTGTTGGTTCCAAATATTTGGACCCAAATTTCCAGAAATTTTGGACAAAAAAATTGGAATGTATAAAACGCCCCTAAAACCAAGTGTTCGAGTTTTTTTCGCGTTTTTTTGTCATGAAATCCTGCTCGCAGCCGAGCTTGCACTGATTCGATCGCAACCGTACGGCGGTGTTGTAGTGTGTACGTGTATACACACATGCACACTGACTGTAAAATGTAAAAGATATCTGGTGGGCATAGCTACACAACCAACTCCTGCCTCTTGCACGATGCAGTTTTGTATGCGCAACATCACATCACAACGTGTGCCCGCTGTTGTTGTTGTTGTTGTGCTCGTGATGTTCAACTAACTGCACACACCTGGCACCTGGCAAACACCACTACTTCCATGCCGCCGGACCATGCGCGCACGTCTTGCGCACTGCTGTATACTTCAGATAAGGGTTTGGGTGTGCCAGGGTACGTGTAGTTGCGTAACGCTCGCTCTTCTTGTAACCGAGGCCTTCAAAACAGCCGTATCGATATCGAGTATCGATACTCGACACGTATCGAGCCATTTTCGGGATATCGAACAAAATATAGGTATTTGTGTTTTTTTCTCGATACGATTGGCGTGTTGTATCGAACCCTTCTGCCCGACCAATATCCAACACTGCCAACTCCACCAAGGACTTTTTTCTGCTGCGAAGAAGCTACTACTGTAGGCACAGGGGATGGATGCCACCGCAGCAATTTCGGCCAACAGACTGGATCTTCCCAACCAACTCGTTGGTTTGACGCAGAGCAGGGGGCGCACCCCACACAAGCACGGGTAAAATTTGCTGCCTGCACTAGCCGGCGCGCTGAGACTGGGCTGTATAGTCTGCCTGGCCCTACTAGCCTTTGTCACACAAAGCTCCAAGCCTAAACGGTAATCTGAAGAACGAGCAATGTAATGTATTTATTTACATAGATGGGAAATATGTCGCGGGTGAATACTAAAAAATAGTCGTGCAACATGCGTTCAAACAAGTCTATGAAACAGGAACGGTCAGACCCCCGCCCTGGGTGCTTCAAGGTAGAACTGTGGCCGCAATACTCAACGTTTCGAGAGACCAAGAAGTTCCGAACAACCCTAACCTGTAGGCACTACATCGGTGTTAGGCTATTGCATGGCCTGCGGGCCACAGGAGCAACGTATTTTTTTTATCTCGCTGTCCAAGTCGGCGATCCGGTCTATAAAAAACACCCACAACGAGAGAGAAGCGACAAGTGCAAACAATGCAATCGAGTTCTTACCTCTTGGGTCAAGAATCAAGGCCAAACCTGCTGGCTCCCAATTGTGTTCTCGTTCCGTCCGTGGAAACATCGAGTTTCTTGGAAACTGGGCTTAATCCCGAAAACTTGCTTGTGAAACGAGCGAGCCCGACGTCAGGAGAAGGGATTTGCTTTTTCGTTTGCCAACGGAAAATCTAGCACCAATGGACCGGATCTTCCGTGCAGTGCGTCAGACAGCCGAAAATGGCAAAACAGCACGCCAGCTGCTGCAGCGCTCGCAAAAACTCTTAGCTCCCGTGTGCAGCGACGCGTGCAGCGACACGTGCATGATGAGCGCACAGACCATGCTACCCAGTGTGGTGAATAAGTTTCAGATCGGTTGCTCGTTTCTCGCCCAAATGTGAGAGAAAATGTATGCCGTCGGATCGGTTCACCGCAAATTCGAAGAAAATATCATTCATCTTTGTTTTTCTATGTGAAACAATCAAGTGACAAATCTTCGACAAATATTGAGTGGGTGCAAAAGGCAGTATGTTTTGGCCTCTTGGATCACACATGATGGTGGAACCTTGAGGGTTGTCACACTTAGTCATCGAACTCCGCCTGGGTGAGTTTTCTCTCATTCAGGTTACACGTATCGCGAGACATCATGAATCAAAACGGCGAGAGTTTCAAGGAGCAAAATGAGAGCGCGTGACGGCAAGGGCAAGAACGGACGAACAACTTGTTCGAGAAAAAATGATTCTTGCGGAAACACGGATTGCAGCACATGGTCTCTCATCCCGCTCTCTTAGTAACCGTTCCTAAACAAATCCATTATGTTCAAAACCTTATGACCACCACCCCTTGCTCTGGCGCGTGTGTGCGCGGCCTTGATCGCTTTCAGTAAGGCTATCATTCCCTCGCGGGCTTCATCCTACATGTCGCGCCACGAACTCCACTGGAAACCCTCGAATTGGTCCTGTACACACCAACTAGTTTGTCGAAGGCGACGGAGCCTTTGACCGTGGAATGCTTGCTATTGACGTACCAGGCCCCTGGGGCGAAATAATCGTCGTTCTTTACCAATCACCTAACCGGATGAAACCTCGAAACTTGGTTGCTGGGCAAAGCCATGTAGTGATGGACACTGTCTCTCTTGCTGCTGACATCGGTCCTGACCTTGGCCGCTGGAAAGCTTCGCCAATCGCCTTCACCATCGCCTTCACCCCTTCACGTACGGCCTCGTCGGTTATCGCGTCTGTAACTAGTTCGTTGGTATTGTACACCATACGCGTTTTTTTTCTCAAAAGTGTCGAGTGTTCCCATCTCTAACCCAAGCTCTTCTCATTATCTTTGTATAGGAACAAGCGCGCTCAACTTCTTGTACGGGCCCCGGCCTTGCTTGGGCTTTTTGAGACAGCCGCGCCATTAGCGCGTGAAGCACCATCTACAGAGCCAACCACGGGTGCGGCGCTCTTGGGCACGCTCGAGACAGCAGCGCCAGCAGCAACGGGTGTAGTGCAAGCAGCAATCCCAGTCATGAGTCCCGCATCAGTAGAAGAGCCGGTGGCAGTTACGGCGCCCGCGGTACGGCCGGCCGCGAACCATGCGCCAGACTTGCGGAGGCCGGGTACGTCCTCTACCCTCGCCAACTAGAGTTCCTTCGTCTTCAACTCCAGCTCTTTCTCGACTCGGATGAACTGCACGTCAAGGTCTTGATCGGTCGTGCTGCTGGCATCCGAGGGGTTGTCCGACCCCCCCCTGAGTCGGCGACGTCTCTCGTCCAGCTTTCTCCTGATGCCCCCTGAGAAAGACACTTCCCCCTCCATGAACTTCGTTGACGCGCTAACCGGGTCGGAGCGTCTCGCGTTGTAGATGTCGGTGGCGTTCTGAGCTGGGTGTGGTGTAAAACAGGGGAAGTGTGACATTTTAGCTCCCGAGTTTCTAGCAAATAAAACGAAAATGACCACATGGTCACAAATCGCAAAGTCGAACAACTGGTACAATTCACAATAGATGACGTACCGTTTTTCAAGGTCCTCCGATCTTTGAGACACGTCGCGTCCAGGGTGAATCCAAGCTCGATGACGTGCTCGACGGCCAGCGTGTCCCGGGTTGTCCGAAGGGCGTTGACGTCAACATTGTCCAGCCCGAAAAACGCCAGCCCGGTTTCTTGTGCCGAATACAACTCACCTGAGAGCCTTCCCGTCTATTACCCCAGCGGACCGAATCTTGTGTCTAGCTCCCCTGCGTTGGCTTTCTTGAGGAACGGCCGCCCAACCAGTGCCATCACCGCCAACCACCGCACAACTTGTGCGCCCTCTATGCCTTGCTCCATGCAAACTGTCGACAAAGATTCTTCGGCGGACTCCGTCTGCTTCCCTTCTGCCCGGAGTCGGATCATCATTCTTCCGACGCTCAGTTTTAAGTAGGTGGTCTTGGCAACCAGTCCGAACAAATCTTGGGGGTGTAAGGTGACTCCGTTGAAAATCATTGCCTGATGCGTAACCACGCTGAAGACGACGAAATCTTTGGAATCGACGCCATCCTCTTCCAGCGCCTCCAACAGCTTCACCGCCCTCTTTCACCCTATGCGACTTCCTCGGGCGTTTTGCCGAGCAGGTGCTCTTCTCCACCGATGCCATCCAATTCCACAAGCGTGGAAGCGTTCTTCGCTTCCGTGAGACGGCCGAATGGGGCCTGGGTCGACTTTTTCAATGGCTTCCATCCCGCCCTGGCACCCGTTGGCGGACATGGCCCCCATAAATACGTCAATGGTTTCCTCCCTCTCCCCTGGTGTGTCCTCCACCAATGGGACCCTCTGTTTACGGAGTTTTGTCCCGTCTCCGACGCCGCCGTTGATTTTAGCTGCGGCGTGTTTTCGCAGATTCCTCGCGTTCTGGAAGAATGAACGGTAGTGATCCAGGGTCCTCTGCACCGCACCGTGGCCGATGTCGGCACCCAGTGCGTGCTCAAGAAGACGGGGGTCATACGTTGCGTGGCTGAAGAACGTCGTGTCCAACGAGTGCAGGCCTACCCGCCCATACTTGGCCGCGTCCCTTATCCCACATCCAAGATAACCACCGGGCGGCATGTTGTGAACAAGCGTTTTGCATCGCGCCAGAGCGAAATGCAGCGCGTACGACATGTCTCCTCCGAGCTCGCTGTCGATGACATCGGCGCTCCTTATATCACGAACGCTCAGATGTTTTGGGCTGTGTGCGATGTTGGTGGACCACTGGCTATGATGTATTTGCAACAAGTTGCATTCTTGCAGAGTACATGGTTGATATGCTTCGAAGAGGTTACCCGGGCGTCGCAATCGATATGCACACGATGTTGAGCTTCTCTTCCAAGGAACCACGCATACGCTCCGCCAGCGGTGCTAAGGTATGCCCGCCTCTCACAATATCCCCCGTGAACAAGCACGCCTGTACTAGATCGTCGTCGGCAACACATCCTAGCCCGCCTAGAAAATTCAGCTGGCTCAGCAACCTCGTGCGGCAAAGTCCTTTAAGGGCTCGTCGTGTCGGTCTGACCACAAGTTTGTTTCGAGGGTGGCTTCCACAAGGAGTTTCGGGAAGACAGGGAGCGACAAGCCCCGCAGAGTATCCATGCGTACTTTGATCGGCATTAGCTCGCTGGTCTTCATGTTGCTCTCCGCATCGGTGTCGTCACCACTCCTGCTGGCTCTGTCTATGGCATCATTCGGGTTCCAGAGCATCCCAGTTAACACACCGCTGAGAGCCGGTACAACCGAACCCATCATGACCGTATACGTGTCACCAGATGGAGGATGAACCGCCGGAGGTCAGTGTCCAGTGTCAGCCCCTCATCGCACCGGTTTTCCAGAAGCTCCCACTGAGTGATTATGGATTCCCGACCTTCCAGTGAGTATTTGCCGTGATCGACTGATTTCACCTCGCGGGTTCCGCCGTCGATCTTGACGCCCGTCTCGCCGAGAACCACACCGATGGTCTTCGGGTCGAACGCGTAGGACAATTTGTCGTAGTAATACTGCAAATTCCTCGACTCGGCACGCTTGTAGTACACCCCGTCCGAGATCTCGATATCACCCTCTCCCTGGTCAGCACACAGGCCATCACCCAGTAGTTCGACCATGACCGGTATCGAAGTGTTTCCACTGGGTTCATTTGCTGCGTGGGAAAACGTACCACCTCGCTCCTGAGCTTTTCACCACTCGACTCTTTTTTGCTGGCCATCCATTCGCAACTTCCGTCCTGCCACGGCTCAACTAGGCGTGCGGCTATTCTGGTAGAAGAGTATACCTCTGGTCGTTGCTTGTACGCGACCTTTCGCACGGGACTACTCCCGCTCCTTCTCCCCCTGCTTCTGTCACTGCCGACACCGCTTCCACCGTCATCTTCGCTGTCATCTCCACCGAAGCGCCACCAACGACTCCACCAACGCCGTCAACGTCCATAACCTCGAGGCCATTGTCTTCAGGAGTCGCAGCGGCCGTTGTTTTCGCTCTCTTTCGTCCACCAACAAGATGATGTTGCGCTCGCTCTGTTCCCACCACCCTCTTTGACTGACAATGTTTTGTTAGGTGAGAGAGATGGAAATACGGTGTCAATTTAATCGAAAGGCGGAGCAGAAGGCGGAGCGAAAGGCGGTGGCGTACACAAGCACAACCGATGTGTGGTGGCACCGTGTGTCGTTTGATCATACCAGCAACAATCCACCACAAACTCCTTCGTCTCGGTTATGTGAGGTGTTGAAGGAGCAGCCTACAACTACGCCTATATTTTCTTGTGGTTGGCCTGGTGCACCTCATGCGCCGTGTCGCACTTCTCCTTCGTGTCGGCCACCTTTTTGTCATAAGCTTCCTGATTGCCCCAGCCAGCCCACACGGCCTCCCTTCTACGCCAGTGATTGTGGTCACGGCCGTTCTTGTAAGCCGTACGGTTGGCATCTTTCTCGGAAATGCAGCCGTACGGTTTCTTCCACCCCGCCTTGCCACGTGATGGGGAAAGAATACACGTGATTTCTTGAGTAGACTCCTGTGGGGCCAATAATGGTCCAAGATACGCGACCTTTGGCTGATGCGTCAAACGTTGCGGAGTGCGTAGACTGGTGCTAGAATAAAGTACCGCCAAAGCATGTTTACCTTAGACGCCATTTCTGCACCACGAACCGGCGTCCACCCGTATCACCAGCTGTCTATATTGACACGATTGATCGTTGGGGGCGGTGGCTGTACGTTGATTGGCTTAGGTTGGTGCATAGGTGGGCGGGTGGGTGGGTGGATGAGTGTGTGTGTGTGGGTGAGTGCATGGATGGGTGGTGGGTGATTTGATGGGGGAGTGAGTGGGTTCTTACAACACATGGGTTTGAATTTTATGTTTTAATTTTCGCTATATGTATATTAAAAAACGAAAAAAAAGATATTCAGTTTACACTAAAATGTCTACAGTGAAAAGCTTTGCAAGCACCATAAAGACTCAGAATGGTCCAAAATTCCAATTTTTTTATGCAGTATAAAATGGGAATGGGTTTTACATTGAGTTTGTTTATGAATCATACATCTCCCTTTATCGTACACATGCGCTTTTCGTGAATCCAAATCGATATATCCCGTCGTGGCGTCCGCGCTCGCGTACGGTTGTGCGACAGCGTTCGCCGTCTTCGTGACCACGTCCATCTCGGCCGCCGTGGCCTCGTTGTTGTTCCCCGTCGATCGCACCCGCGCGCAAGCAGTACGTGTCGACATACCCCCCATCACTCGCCTCGAGGCCGATCGGTACTTCATGGGTGGCCGGCGCCGAGAGCCTTGTCGCAAAAACTCGTCGTCGCCACGGGAGGAGGAGGGGAAACAACGGATACCTCAAGAAGGTCTCCGCTGGGCACGCGGAGCACAGTTCTGCTCGTCCCGGACTCTCGCCCGTCCGCGGAGTACACCCCAGGTGTGCATTATCTTACTAACATTATTTATATTTCATCTAGTTGAGTTATCTGTCTGGAAGAGACCGAAAAATAGCCAGTGATATCGAGGCTAGCACATAGCTCAAGTGGTTACACAAACAAATTTTGAACACAGGCTCACGAGTTCGACTTGGTTTTCGTGACGATCCAGACGAACGAAAACCGTGCCTCAACTATTTTATTGACCTGTAAAGCCTCCATCAACACTGCAGGTTGCCCTTGGTCGCGGGAAGCGAAAGAAGGAAAAAGCAAGTTGGGTGAGGCAGATAAAGCCGATGCAGACTATTACTACTGTTTATTGAAACCGTCGAATTTTCCAGAGTCGTTTTGCTCCTGTAGTATCAGCTTGGGAGAGTGCTCTGGAGTGGTTACTTTATCGGAGAGTTCACGCGCAAGGAGAAAGCAATTTGAAAGACAGTAAAAACCAGTAGAGGCGTGAATGTGTCGGCGGCAAACTCTGAGCCTAGAGATCATGCACATTGGGTGGGGAAGGCACGGATACGAGCCCATATCACAAACGGACTAGATGGGTGGGATGACGCGTGCCTTGCAAAGTGGAAGAACGACCATCAGGTGGAGCGGGAAGAGGCGACGCGCATATTTGACGCGGAACAGCTGGAACAGGAACAGAGAGAGGAGGAGGAAGCAGCGGCAGGCGGAGGAGAGAGATCGGGCCTGTTGGAAATGTGGGTAGGTGGATCAACGCTTGGATGAAGACGTGATCATTTTGTACGATGGTGCCGATTGCTCGGGCGCCAGCCAGGTTGGATGCTGCGACCACCTTCTCCAGGGCGTTCCAGATGTATTTGTGGGTACTTAGAAGTCACGGTGTAGATTTGTTGGTAGGACACAAGAGGTCGGGCAATACCTGCGCGCATGGATT